AACCTTTAAACGTCGGGCTGTATTCGAGGTGGCGTCACTCTGTTCTGTTCTGTTTTTTTTTTCAGTTCCACTCGGTATTTTACAATGAACTTTTCTATGGTATCTATTTTGTTGTAGTGCTATTGATATACCATGAATTAGTTGAATTCAACCCAACTAGTGATCATGATGCTTCTACTTGCTCACATTGAGACGGTTAAAGGTAACTTGGTTTTCACTCCTAGCTAAAGGTCACCATATGCACAGACCATTCGGGAGGGTGAATGAATTGCGACCACGGATAAAGATACAAATTTACCGTAGCTGAACTTTCTAGTTGGCAGCGTTTCCGGCTTGAGGAATTATCTGGTATATATGCAATAATTCACTTGTATATAATTCCAACCGAAGTTGTTTCCAACTGAACTTCATATGTGTAAATGCAACATTTATGGTTGAATTACCGCATACGGTTCGAATGTTGTAATCCATAGACAGCGGGCGTTTTTAATTCAGACCTTTTCCCCACATTTTCCATTGTGCAATACACCATCTCCCTCCCTCGTTGTCACCCACCCTCTCATGATGCCTCTGCCAGTTGCATTTTGGACTTGTGAGTGGTCGAAATCCCATCCACATCGCTATTCTTGTGGGTGGTACAAATGCCGGGAATCAAGCAATCACAATGCTTAAAAGTCTCCGACTAGCACTAGGTCACTTCAATCGGTCAGCCATTCCATGTGCGTCTTTGCTCGAGCGATATTCCCCGTCGAACCGAATGCCCTATAGGCGTACGATTACGCTTCATTTGCTTGTGGATTTGGATGCGCATCAATTTCTCTACACCGAGTTCGCACAATGGCAGCCGCAAGACATGGCCATTCATTTCTATTCTATCGAACTGTACATGGTAAGTACATACTTCTTTCTTGAAGTTGGGAATCTTTTGAGTATGATTTGAAAACCCAACAATAGTTTGTATCAATATTGGTTATTTCTGCATCATTTCCGTTCTTACGGTTCTCACTTTATGGTAGTGCAGTTGCTGAAGTAGCCTTCGCCAGCACAGGAGAGAAGGAAAACACTGGAGGTGTCAACATATCGTTTCCCATTTCCAATCGCGTAATAATAACTACAGCGATCAAGGCTAAACGGTTGAGATAGTCAGTCGTTGGTCAACAGATCGGATCTCTCACTCCACCGGTTTCTGGTAGTTTAATTCTGTGCTCATGAGTCCCTACAGTTAGTTCAGCGCGATGTCATCATACTGTAATGCGAACGTAATGCGTGCTGTCGCAGCGCAGCGCAGCGGAGTGTGAACAGAGCTGCGCGACAGGATGTTGTCCCTCGGCTCTGGTATTCTCGCATCTGTAGACCACAATATGAGGCTTTGCGATGACGAATAACGGCAGAGGAACGTCGGTGTGGTGGCGAAGCGACAGGAATGCGGCGTGGCTAGGAAACACTGGCAAACAGGTCCTTCGTGGATCGTTGTTAAAGATAAATCTTCAAGGTAAAGCAAATAAGAGACCATGAACCTAAAAAGATCCACTGACATGCACACACACATTGACGGTAAAATATTATTTGCACCATTACCAAGCATTACAGCGCAACCTGATTTTTGGGAACGGACACTGTGTCGGCCTTCATTCACATTT